AATAGATTGAAGAATCACATTTGCAAGGAAGAAAAAGCAAAAATACATACTTTCCTCTTTCCAACAAGACTAGGCACTTCTCATACTCCAGTCGAGGGAAAAAGTCACTTTGCACCCTAAAATAAGCCAAAAATAACATGACCATCCTGTCTAAGAGTTGGTCTCCAAAATATAAAACCTTGAACATGTCCAATAAGCCTGAATTCCCTAAGGAGAAAAAAATGTTTTTCTCCAATCACTTGCTATGGGAAGTTGGAAGATAAGCCATGACTTTGGGGAATATGATAATCGCGTGAGAAAGTTGTTTTCAACCTTCAAGAACGGATTAACGTCTGCTTAGGAACCCTGGTCATTTTATGGGGTCTTTTCTTTCAAGTATTTATTGGATTTTTACCTGTTGAGCCAGTCTTCTGAAGCCCGACTTCCTTGCACTCTAAAGGTTCCTGCCACTAAATCTTCCACAGTCAGAAACACGTATCATCAGCAAGCACACTGCCACTCTTGACTGTTTCAGCTGCCTCATGCTCTGAACTGGCACCACTTGTGGGACCTGATCAATAATTTTACATTTCTCTTCCAACACCCCTTAAAACGCATTCTTGGATTCGACCTTCATGCCCTCAGATGAATGGGTGAGCAGGTCCCATGACTTTCTGCTCAAGCAACCACTTCAAAGCCCCAAAAGGATGAACACTTACAGTCCAGAAATTAAAGAAACTCCAACCCTGTTATAACACTAAATCTCCCACCCAATGCCAGGTAGGTCCCACTGCACACCACTCCCCTGCAGGGACTGGGGGACAGCTGACCTCTTTCCTCCTTTTCTACCTTATACCCAACTGCAGAACAGCTTCTCACCCTTCCAAGATCAAAACAACAGGACAAGGCTATAGTAATTGTCTTCACACTGTTTACGGGTGCATTAGTGATATTCATTCTCCTTCAACTGACTGCTCACTCCTCCCTTAGCCTCTCAGATTCTGGAAACTCTTGCTGCTGGGGTACCCTCACTGTTGGGCTGAATTTAGAGTGGCCCCGAGGCCAGCGCTCTCTCCCACCTGCCCCGACCTGGTCCCCAGTACACCCTCGGGCATCCTTTGTCCTGACAAACTCTGGGAAAGCAGGCAACCCTGCTGCCCAGGCCACCACATGAGCCTGCCATGCAGGGAAGACATGTACAGCTCAACTAGTGGCCCCACAATAGCTCCTGGCACCAGGTTTGGAATGAAGGAAGCGCCCAAAGAGTCCTTTGAAGAAACCTGTTTAACAAAGCCTCCTGTCTCAATTCTCACATTTTTGAAATGACCAATGGTTCAGGAGTTATGGAAAAGTTCTCAAATGCCTACACTGAAATTTCTACTTGGTGGTCTGGCACTTTCCTTCTGAATTTTACATAACTTGCATAACTGTCTCAGTCAAAACTTTGATTTGGTAACTTATTTTTTAGTACCAAATGCATATAAATGTTTCAGATAGCCTGCTAATTTCCAATTATTTTTTAAGGTTTATTTTTGTTATATATCTAATAAAATTGAGGAATCTGAGTATTGAAGGGGGCATTCAGTGACATAAAATGCAACAAAATCTTCACCCAGTTTGGTGAAGACTGGGTCGGCCCTGAATCCTCTTCCCAGTCCTGACAGGAGGTCGCCCAGCATCTGCTTGATCTGCCTCTGGGAACAAAGCCACCCCCTCTTCCTCAAGGGTCTGAGGACTGGCCAGGTAACTGGACAAACCTTATTTTTGCCAAAGGAGGTAAATGCTCTTTGCTCCTCAGAGGGCCTGGTGTTCAGACCCTCATCATCACCTTCCTCTGGAGAGCCTGAAGTTGGTCCCTGTCCTGTTGGCCACTGAGAATGGGACATGGAGGAAAGTGGGCCTGGGCTCCTTTGATCCAAATGCCACAGGTTTGGGGGAAATGACACTGGCTAAGGGCTCAGGTTCTAACATTCCCGTATTAGCTCTGCTACTTACCAATAATATGGTCTTGTGCCAATTACTCAATCCCTCTGTGACTCAGCCTTCTTATCTGATAGATGGAAATGGTGATAATTATATTCCCTACTCAAGGGAATGTTACAGGGAGTGAGAAAAAATTGTAAAACACCCATAAGTGTGCTTGACACACAATAAGCTCCATATAAATGTCCATTAAGAGGCCTGTCCTCATCAGTGCAGCCCCCATTTGCTATGGGGCAGCCACTTCACACTACGTGTAGTTCACTCTGAACTTGGTGGGCCACTGAATCCCCCAGGATTTGTCCTCTCACATGAAGTACTACTCACTGGGGCCATTCCTTCCTTCATTTTTTTTTAAATTGAATCTATTGGGGTGACATTGGTCAAGAAAACCATATAGGTTTCAAGTGTACAATTCTATAACACATCTGCACACTGCACTGCACACTCACCACCCAAAGTCAAGTCTTCTTCCATCACCGTTTATCCCTCCTTTGCCTCTTCCCCACCCCACCCCCCTTGCTTTCCCTCTCGCAGACACCACACTGTTGTCTATGTCTCTGTGCTTTTTGTCTTCTGAGTCCCTTCATCTTTTTCACCCAGCCCCTCCAACCCCTAACTGACCTCTGACCTTCAACCCTACTGTAAGCTCAACATTGTAGTATTAGTAAATAAAATAAGTCTTGTAGAGTACACTCCTGGATTTGTAGTTGCTACAACTCTGAGAACTGTCCCCACTATGTCTTTCCCCTGATGAGTGATACCCAGGAGGTACAGGGAGAAGGATAGAACTGTCCTGTGTGTCCATTCTTTCCCCTGTTGTTCTTAAGGACAGTAGAAGACTTTCTCAAATGCCTCTGCAAAGGCAAAACACACTTTAGATTGTCTGTGTCGGGGACAGTGTCAGTGACTGCATTATTTGTAGGTCCCTTTTTGGGAACCTCTGTGACAGTATATAGCAATATATTGTGCCAAAAAAACAATAGCCACCTCGCTGTGAGGACCAAAGTGTGTATCTGAAAGAACCTAACTAAGCTGCTGTCACACGGGCACATTAAAAGGTCAAAAATAAAGGAATCAAAGATGAATTCTGACTGGCAAAATACCTCCACATCTGGGGGCCTACTGTAACGGGGAGGAGGAAAGTTCCATTTTCCAGAATGTGCTGGTGATATCATTTGCAAGGAAGGCCACCCCACTGTAAGCAGGACGGGGTTAACCTGGAGAGGCCAGTGGGGGCAGCCAGGGAGATAGCTGTGGTACCCCAGCAGAGGCAGCAGAATAAACAGGGCAAAACACACGCAGGAAGGAGTTGAGGGGCTGGGAGTCACTCCCTCCACCCCAATCCAGGTCTGCTATCCCTGGGGCCATTTGTTAATACTACTACTACTACCAATAATAATAGAATTAACACAAAACAATAGCTAGCTCTGTGCACTCTGATGTTTCCTCTTCCCTTCTAACTATCTCATGTTTTAGAAAATGCAGGTGCAACTCACTACACAGATGTCATTACCCTAAGGAGTCACAACCCACGTTGGGAAAACAGTGGATATGCTGTGCCCCAATCTACAGACCAGTAGGTTGCTGGAAAAGAAACAGAGTTAGTTTGCAATAAATTGTCTCCCTAAATTCCTTCCCTCGTGATCTTGAGCTATCTTCTTGAAGAATTTATTTTGGAATGCTGCCAAGATCTAATTGTTCCTTCTTTTGAAAAGTCTCTGGGCTCTGTTCTCATCTCTCAAGCCTGCTGGAAGGTTACTGTGAAAGCTTGCACACTGGAGGATGCCTGTGATTTGTGCTTGAACAATCCAGCCCACTTCAGGGTTTGGCGAGGGGAGAGGAGACTTTCCCATTTTGTAAAGAAATAGAGTGGGAGCTACTCTTTCTCTGGTCACCCATTAGTATCACCTCATGTAAACACTGAATGCTCTCGCTGATCAGAACAAAACTCTTTCACTGTGGGCACCCCAGCTCAGGGTGGCCTCTTGCTTCCTGGAACTTACCCAGGCAGGCCAGGTCACCTTCCTTGCTAGATTCTTGGTGGTGCACCAAACACACACTAGCCTCACAGTCCCAGTTTGCAAATCCCACTAGTAACCGGGGGATTCAGCTGGAAAACTTACCACCTCGACCTAATTTTCTTCACATGTAGAAATACTACCACTTACCTTTGGAGGTTTTGTAAGAATTTATTTATGTGAGTTCCCTTCTCTTCCCCCAGTAGCATAGACACCTCCCCCCTGAGCTCCCTTTGCTTTCAGAACACCGTGCAGTGCTATATCGCTGTCAGATTAAATTCAGGGTAATGTCCGAGTCCCCGTGTTGTCTTTGCTGTGAAACCACAAAGCCTCCGAACAAGTTTCCAAAACGAGGCAACACTGACTTCGGTGATTAATTATGCAGAAAGGATGGAAGGGGGAGAAAAACGAACCACTTTTTTCCTTCTAATCAGTAAAATAATCTGCGGGCAGACTCCCCAGTGCAAACAAAATAAATTAACTGTCCAACACGGTTCATTCTGAGAATCTTGTCCACCGGAGAGGTGAGCATCCCCGCCAGCGGACAGTGCATTTCGCTTGAACCCGGAGAATCCCGAGCCCAGAGGTCTCTCAGTTGCAGGACACAAGGGTGGCAGACAAGAGAGCAGAGTGTAGAAACTTTTCTCGCCTTTGGGAGAAGGTGTGACCCGGCCCTCCAAAGCAGAGAGGGGGGAACCCACCCGACCCCCCCCCCCGAGCGCCCCCACTTCAGCTTTTTCCAAAGCCCTCCGCCAAGAAACTTACATCGGTGGACTGTGAGAAAGGTCTCGAACTTAGGCCCCACTCTTTCCCTAGCCACGCTCACACCCCAGTTTTCCCACACCCATTTTCACCCAGCTTCTGCCAAAAAAAAAAAAAAAAACCCAAACCGAAAATCACCCCCAAACCCAATCGAGCTGAATGCCTTTCCCGGAGCCTCGAGGACCCCACTCCCGTGCCCCAGGTTGCGCATCCAGGGTGCCCCCTCCCTCCTGCGGGTACCCACTGGGGTGCCCTGACCTGTGGGCGCCGATTCTCCGATCCTCCGAGGTGTGTGAGCTTTGCTGGCGCCGCCTCCTCCTCCTCCGGCTTCCCGGGGCTGGGCGAACCGCTCCCGGCGCTGCGGTGCACTGCGCGGGGCGGGGACTCTGCTCCCGGCTGGAGGCTGTGCGGGGCGGGTGCGGCGGCTGTCGCCCCAGCCCGAGGATGCTGAGACCAGGAAGAGGTGAGCTCTGGAGAAGCCTCTCCTGCTAAAGCTGCCTTCACTCACAATGAGGGTAAGACCTTGCAGGGAAGAAAGGAACAAAAATCTGAGAATATTCTTTACCCACCCGCCATCCCCCACTCTCACCACCCCCTCACCCCAGGCTCTGCAGCGGGCCCTTCAGGCCAACTTTGAGTAACCAGGCTGAGCGAGAGGGAGGGGGGCAGCATGAATAAGATTCATGATAAACCCTCAGCCCTGGGTTCAAGTTTAGTAAGGGCTGGACCCTCCAGCACGAGGTACTAAAATTACTACCTCCATTTTACTCCTCCTCCTGCATCCTGGTACATACTGGGGCCAACCGCAGTCAAATGTCTCCCAGACCGGGCCCCAGAAGGATAGGAGTGGGCCAAGAGTAGATTCAAATTAGCAGACGTGGCTCACTCCGCACTCTCCGTAAATATTTATTGAGTCCATATTTTACTATGCCAAACACTGATCTAGACACTAGGGCGACGGCCTCCTAGAGTTTATACACCAGGTAAGACATAGGAAGTAAACATAACAAATAAGTAAAGTATGTAGTGTGGGAAACAGCTGTAAATGCTGTACAGAAAAGTAACTCAGGCAGAGAGAGGGTAGAGAATGTTGACGGTGTGGGTGCATTATTAAATCGGGTTGCCAGAGTGGCCGCGCAGGTCACTCTGGTATCTGAGGAGAAAGTATTCCACTCCCCGAGTTGTTCACGATGGTAGGGGCCATTTCTTTTACTACTCACAGGCGCTCTGTCAGGCAGTATGACTACCATTTCCGTGAAACAAACGAGGAGACTGTAAATGAATTGCCCAAGGTCACATATTAGTAAGTGGAAGAGCTTGCCTTCAAGCTCAGAAAACCTGGTGCCCCCGAATCCTAGTTTAATCAGTCCGTATCTGCAGCGGCAGAGACGCAGCATAAGCAGTACCCACGCTGGCTGCCAATGGTGGGATTAATTCAATTTCCCAGGGCCAGAAAAAGATTCCTGGAAATGGTATCAGATGCATTAATTTTTAAAATAACTCTTGTGTCATTATTACGTGTGAAATGAAATATTTTGCAAACCATCTGTACAGCTGTGTGTGTGCGCCTCAGCCCCATTCACAGGCAATTTAATTCTGGATGACATCATCTGACCACCTAGGATGAGACACATTAGTCCCTGCCCTGTTTCTCCACGTTGATTCCAGTTGCACATTCCTGTCCTCCTGAATGTGATCCATCACCTACAGAGCAGAGCTTGCTCTGCATGCTGGCAGGTACACAGTGGAGCCGGTCAGAGAGCAGAGTGACAGAATGAGGGAATAAAAAGAATGAAATCTTGCCATTTGTGGTCCAACTGCCTCTAGGCAGGTCCAACTACCCTCTAGATCCAACATGGATGGACTGACTATTCATGTTGGACCTAGAGAGTATTACACTAAGTTAAATAAATAAGAGTAAGACAAATAGCAAATGATTTCACTTATGCATGGAATCTTAAAAAATAAAAATGAAAACCAAAACGGAAGCAGACCCATGGATAGAGAGAATAAGTTGATGGCTGCAGAAGGGGAGGGGAATGGGAGATGGGCACTTTATTTAAAAAGGAGAGAGAGAACAGAGCTATAAAAGTGCTACTGTTAAAACGCCAGCCTCCGCCTTGGCTGTCAGTCAGATGGCCTCTTTGGGGCATAGTACCAATGGCTTTCAAGGCAGAGAACAGGGCACCTCGTACTCCATAGAAAAGGCCACTAACCATCAGCTTCAGAGGCTGAGACTGCAGTGCCCAGTGAGAGCAACCTCGTCGACAGGATGGCAGAGCCCCTCTGCTCCCCTAGTCATCTCTGCCTTGCCATGGTTGCACCCATTTCCTTCTTCCCTCCCCCAGTGCCAGCAACATCTTCCTGCCTTCCCTTCAAGGGCCACGTCAAAGGCCTCTTCCTCCAAGAAGCCATCCTCACTGCCCCAGCTACAAATGAACTCTTACTCTAAAAATCTGATACCCTTCTATGGCACCTGTCATTTTAGAGTTTAACTCTAAATGGGCTCCTCCTATTCCTCCAGGGGCCAGCTTTATATTTAAGTTCTCCACGGGTCTTAGCATAGTGCCTTGCACCCAGAGGACGTTCAATAAGTATTTTTTGTTAATAAATTAATCTATAGGAGCATAGCTTCATTGTCCCTTAATTTTGTCTTTTCATTCTAAAATTCCTTTCAAGCTCACAGATATTTAGTGGTAGGACTGAACTATATATAGCCATAGTTATTATTTGTCAATATAAATTGGCAAGAGTTGACTTTGAGATAAATTTTATTTGCCCCGTACTGAAATGGAAAACTGAGGTTTAAGAGTGATTGCCCCAAGATCCCAGTGCTAGTCGATGACAGAGCCAAGATTTGAGCCCAGGACTGTTTGGCTCCGAACTGTGTGCTCTTCACCATGACCTCCTGCTGCTCCTCATTCTCTCGTTCACTCACGTGGGCATTCATGTGAGCTTTGAACACATACTTGTATTTCCCTAGTGCAGCTCTGCACCAGCCATTGAGAAAACAACCACAGTGAAAACGCAGCTCTTGGGGAACTAGAAGACTGCAGTCAAAAGGTACAGGCTTTCAGTTACCAGATGAAGATGTTCTTGGGCTGGACTGTATGACATGACAACTACAGCTAACACTGCTGCCTGACACATAGGAAAGCTGTTAAGAGTAAATCCTGAGTTCTCCTCACAAGAAAATACTTTTTTCTTGTTTTGCTTTTTCCTTTTATTCTATCTATGTGAGATGAGGGATGCTAACTAAACTTACTATTAGTCAAGGCTAGGACACTTGGTACCTTTTTTAGAAGACTTTCCATTAGCCTTTCTGTGGGCTGACGTGGCCTTGGCGATAAGGTGTGGGCTGGATTTCATCTCATAATATATGTAAGTCAAACCAATATATTGTATACTTTAAACTTTCGTAGTGATATGTCAATTGTATCTCAGTAAAACTTGGAAAACCCCGCAGTTCTTGCAGTCAAAGTCACTTGCAATCTCTAGACACACAGAAGCCCAAAAGTGTACTTTGTTTTAACTTGGGCGATAGGGAAGTAGGAAATACCACCAGGGATTCACTGGGAAGATGGAATGTAGTTTAAATCTTGAAGGCAATACAGTAATCTGTTATAATGATAATGAAAAAAAAGCAAACAGTAGGCAAAGCTCATCTGCAAACACAGGGAGGCATGAAAGACCATGCACTCAGAGAAGGCTACCGTCACTCAGGAGGGATGTGTCACTGTGAGGGCGGTATTGAGATAAGGCTGGAAAGAAAGGTAAGGAGAGAAAGCCAAATCACAAGGGTCCACAAATGACCTGGATGGAGTCCATTACCCCCTGAAAATGCATACAATCATGGATGTTATGAATGGGAACCTTTCACAGGAGAGGTCTGATAATTTTAGCCAAATTCTGAAAGCTGCTGACTGACCCAGCACCAGGAGGTGGGGAAGTGATTTTCCTTTGCCACAGCCACTGCCCGACCCATGGACCACTGGATCCCTGCGAATGGGTGCAAGGCATGACTCTGCCAAATCACCTCCAAATGCGCAGTGGTGCTGCCAGCCCCAGGCAAGGATGGCTGGACCCTAACCTTCATAGCATCTGTTCCCGGGATTCCTCCTAAAGGCAGAGCCAGAGGATAGCTGGGCAGCCCGTAGGCAGGGTGCTGGCAAATGAGACCATGTTCCAAGGAAGCAACAGAAAGAGGACCACAGTGAGCCAAAACTGTCAGCCCTCAGGGCACGACCCACTGCTTCCCAAACTTCACTTACTTTTATGGGCTGAATTGTGTCCCCCAGATTCCCACATTGAACTCCTAACACTTAGTACCTCCAAGTGTGACTATATTTGGAGACACGGCCTTTAAAGAGGTAATTAAGATCGAGTAAGATCACATGGGCCTAATCCAATCTGACTGATGCCCTTAGAAGAGGAGATTAGGACACAGACACTGGGAGCACTCATGGACAGAGGGACAACCATGTGAAAAGGCAGCAAGAGGATGGCTATCTGCAAGCCAAGGGGAGAAACCTGATTCTTCCCTTATGACCCTCAGAGGAAACCAGCTCTGCTGGGACCTTAACCTTGGACTTCCAGTCTCCAGAACCATGAGAAAAATTTTTGTTGTTTAAGACACCCATTTTATAGTATTTTGTTAGGGCAGTGATAGCAAACTAATAGATTTACAAAACACAAATTTAAAATTCAAAAATAACATTTTGAATTTCAATATGGTGGCCACAGAGCATTTGATCTCCAAGGAGGACCCTCCTAATCATGGCGTCCTGTGCCACTGTGCTGGGCACATGCCCTGAAGCCAGGTCCTGGGAATATGGGCATGGCAATCTGGACACAGCCTGAATTCATTAGTGGAGACATGCGGCAGCAGCTGGGGGAGTGGGTAAGACCACTCCATGGGAACACAAGGTGAAAAGATAAGAGGGCTGATATCAGAAGCTTGGAACATGAACCTAAAAGACAACTAGAGAAATAGAAGGTGAACAAGAGAAGGTGGAACCTGATAAGAAAGGTGATGAGAAATAGACAATAGTGTCTAAAGGCCAAGGTCATGATTAAGAACTGAAGCCCACTGGCTTTTGCGTGGAGGTCACATGGTAGGAACTGAGGCCAGAATGCTGCTGGCTGTGGAGTAAGGTTGTCATTACGGCCACTCCTCCGAGGAGGCTGGGAAGTGGGGGTGTGCTGGGGGTGCTGAGGACCTTGGGGCAAGCCTATGAAAGCCCAGGGGACTGAAATGCAGCCCACACTCTATCAATAAGGCTATATCGGCCCACAGGAAGACTGATGGAAGGCCTTCT